CTGGAATTACAGGCGTGCGCTACCACACCTGGCTAATTTTTTGATTTATTGTAGAGATGAGGTCTCTCCAAGTTGCCCAGGCAGGTCTCGAATGAACTTGGATTTTCTTGTGTGGGCGTTCCTAGTATGTTTCCCCTTGAACCCTCCTTGAATGGTACCTTGGAAAGCAGCTCAGGCAGACTGGGTCTCAGGAGCCCTCGGGAGAATCCGGAAGCTCGGATGCTTTCCCTAACCTTGCATAGCCATAAGTCAAACTTGTTTCTATTTCCTTGAAATAAAAATACATAAATACAGGGAAGAAAGACAGGCCCCATTTTCAGATCCACAGTCCTACAGTGTTCCCCAGTCCTGTGTTTATCGGGATTTGGAATTTGCCCTCTGCTCTAGTGTGATGGCCCGTGCAGCGCGGGGTGAGCTTTCAGGCCTGCGCCGGGCCTTCCTGGCTGGCCTTCCTGGCTGGCCTGGCACTTCCTCTGAAGGCACTGCCTCCCAGCAGGGGGTCTGGGCGCCCTGGGGCAGATCTCCTGCAGCCCTGTGATTTCCCAGGGAAGCACATGCTTCAAGCCCCTTGCTGTTCCCTGTCCCTGCACAGTGTGCGACTTCTGCACCTGCACGTGGCACTCAGCACACAGACTCCACACTCCCGTGAAGCTTTCCTCTTCATTTCCAGCAACTTGTCGATGAACTTCTGGGCTGCAACTAAATTATCTGTATTTCTTTGCCTAACTTCCCTTGAACCACTGGCTGACCTCCGGCTTCATGGGCCTGTGTCTGTATCTGTAAAATGGGAGGGAGTTTTAAGCCAAATCTGAGATTTTAAGCTTTCTTTTGAGGAATGGGAGATCCCTTTCATTTAAAAAGAAGTGAAGGGAGGGAGGGAGGGAGGGAAGAAGGAATGAGTAGAAGAATGAACAAGTGATGGACTTTTGTTTTTTTGAGTCGGAGTCTCACTGTCCCCGGGCTGGAGTGCAGTGGCCGCTCCCGGCCACTGCAGCCTCGACCTGACCCTTCCACCTCAGCCTTCCGAGTAGCTGGAACGACAGGCACGTGCCACCATGCCTGGACAATAATGTGATTGATTGCAGAGATGAGTTCTCGCCAAGTTGCCCAGGCTGGCCTCGAACCTGTGGGCTCTGGCAGTCCTCTCCCCTCAGCTTCCCAAAGTGCTTGGGTTATAGGCGTGAGCCGCTGCCCCTGCCCAAAGTTCTTATAAGGACATCTAAAATGTAAAGCAGACCAAAGTGGAGCTGCTTGATTTGAGGTGGGAATGAGGTGATTGCAACAGACCAGCCTGGGTGAGCTGCCCCCCCATGGGTACTGGTAGCAGGCAGGGCACCTCCACAGCGCCACGGAGCTGGCACCTACCACTGTTAGGGGACCCCTGACTCCTTTACAGCTTGATTGCTTTCATCTTTTCTCTCTCCTCCTCCTGTCTCATCTTTTGGGTTTAAAGTGGGAGGTCAAGATAGTTTACATTTAACTAGATGATTTCTAAAATCCTTTCAGCTCATTCTAATTAGAATCCAAGATCTTTTTTTTGGTGGACGAAGGGAGGTGGAGTCTCACTCTGTTGCCCAGGCTCCGGAACAGTGTCACTATCAGAGCTTACTGCAGCCTTGATTTCTTGGGCTTCAGGCAGTCCTTCTGCCTCAACCTCCCAAGCAGTTGAGACTGCAGATATGCACCATCATGCCCAGCTAATTTTAAAGTTTTTTTGAGACGAGGTCTCACTATGTTGCCCAGGCTGGTCCCGATCTCCTGGGCTCAAGCAGTCCTCCCATCTTGGCCTCCCAAATTGCTGGAATTATAGGCATGAGCCACCACACCCGACCAGAATTTGCAATCTTGAAGGTTGAGCTGAGCTGGGTTTATATTGCACCATCTGTAAGGAAAGGGTTTGCTCATGGTGAAGTAAGGCTGGGCCTATTAATACAGTTTTAAGAAACCATTTCAAAGCCTTCCATCAAAGTAATTTTTTTTTTTTTTACAAAAATGCTACTGATTATGAATATTTTTTAATTAAAATGAGAACTTTTTATTTATTTATTATTATTTTTGAGTCAGAGTCTCACTCTGTTGCCCAGGCTGGAGTACAGTGAGTGGCATGCTCATAGCCACCACAGCCTCGACCTGCTGGGCTCAGGTGATCTTCCAACACAGCCTTCCATGTAGCTACCATGCCCATCTTATTTTTGATTTATTGTAGGATGAGGTCTCACCAAGTTGCCCAGGCTGGTCTTGAACTCCCGAACTCGGGCAATCCTCTCACTTCGGCCTCCCAAGGTGCTGGGATTACAGGTTTGAGCCACTGTGCCTGGCCTCTAAATTCTTTAAAAGTATTCTACATGGGCTTCAAATTAATTCAGTAAGTGGGTGGATTGGAGGTTTATATAGATGAAACACAACTGGCCAGTTGATGAGTTTTTAAGCTGGGTGTGGTGTACCTGGGAGCTTGTTATTCTATTCTCTTTACTTTTGCATATGTTTGAAATTTCATATATAAAAAAGTTACTGAAACAGTCCATAATTCAGACTCACTGTTCCCCTTTCCCCCATGTAATCCCCCATTTAATGCAGGTGGCAAGATTTGCTGGCTGTGTTAATAATAATTTTAACATGAAAATGTGTCTTGATATCTGTGACCTGTAATGCACCAGGTGCTTTCTCTTAGATTCCAGAGTGTTGTTGTAGTCGTTCAAAACCTGAATTATGGTATTTTATTTTGTAAATCAATTGTAGGCATAAGCTTCAGACTCAGGCAAAACTGGTTTTGGAGGAAAACAAGTTATTGATAGAGCAGCTGGAGATTCAGCAAACAAAAGCTGAGGACGCCCACCAGGAGCATCTCCGAGAAGGTGAGGACTCCCCAGCAAGGAATAGCCATGCTGTGATGGTACTGTTATGTCCTCCTGCTAGGGCTGCCAACTGAAAATAGGGGGAATCATGTTGTTTTGGTTTTTTGTTTTTATCAAATTAAAAAATGTATTCATGCCATTAAACTCATCTATGGGGAAGCATGTTTTAGACTATAGCCTTCTGTGCTGAAGGGGAGCTGCCTCTGACCTTCCAGCTACTGGTGCGTTGATTGCTTTGTGCTGACTCCCCGGCGTCTCACTCAGTGCTTTGTAAGTCCATTGTAGGCGATGGCTCTAGACTCAGCAGCACTGGCCTTAAGGGGAAAGAGTGCCCTGGAGGGGAAAAATCATGGAAGAGAAACACTTGAAATGACACAGGGTCTCTTCTCAGACAGCTGTTGAATGAGTCAATAAGTAGAACCACTCATTCTCTAAGTGGTTTCTTGGTGCTTCCCGCCCCGCAGAGTGCAGGGTTGCAGGTTAAGTCTGTCGGTCAGCTCTCCATCAGATGCCTTCCGTGAGTGTCCCCTCTTCGCGTTGTGTCCCTCTCTGCCCCTGGGAGCCTTACCGTGTATGAAAGTGACTTCAAATAGGCAGGTTGAGTCATTTCTTCTGCTTTAAACCCAAACTGCATGAGTACAAACGATGGTGGCGTTTTCCCCATGCTTTACTGATTTTTCTTTTCCAGTGAAGAATAATACAGGCTGGGAAGCTGAAGCACAGGCTGTCTCGTATGAGCCAGCATCACCCCTTGCCCCTGTTTTCTCTTCTACTTCTCCTTATTTAATGCTCCCCCTTCCACACAGTGGCAGAGTTCATTAGCAGGCTGTGCTGTTGCTGAAATTACTGGGCTAGCCTTTCACACGTTTCTGATAACCAGGCCATGTTTAAAGACGAGAACATTTCCTGCACATGACCTAAACCTGAGTGACCCAGGAGTGTTTCCCTTTACTCTGGCATTGTTGAAGGGGGTGGGTAAGAGAGTTGCTGAGCCTCCTGTCTTCGTTTTCAGGGCTGGAGATGACAGGGGAATTCGTTTCCTACTTACTGAGCTCAATTTTCTGGATGGTACCATATCTGAATGGGTGTGATGGCTCTTCTGGTCACGCAGGGCAGGGCCTACCTTGTGGCCTGTGTACTTCAGTCTGCTACTTCCCCGTTCCCCGGAAACAGCTATTCACCTTGATCAATTGAGTGTTTTCGTAGAAGAGAAAGATTTAGAGTTTATGCGCTAATACTTCTAAGGGCTATTGTCAACAGACACCCAGGAAATAGCTCATTGTCATATACAGTCATGTCACATAGGATGAAAATATTTATCACTGCTTTAGATGCAGGACATAAAACAAAAATTTAATGAGGAAAGGAAGAAAAACTAATAAATTCAGTTCTTAGTTTGACCACGTTTGCAGTCCTTGAAAATCTTGCAGCTCCAGGGACAACATTATGATATACACACTTGCACACCTGTGTATGATTTAAGGCTTAATTTAAACAGTCTTTGGGAAGTCAGTTCCTTGAAGACTGGAATCATGTTTTATTAAATATTAGAGTGAATGCTACCAAAAAAAATTGAATATTTTGTGACTGTTTAATTATTGTAGGAACAGTAATTTCTTTTTTTTAGAATTCAGAGACAGGGTCTCGCTCTGTCACTCAGGCTGGAATGCAGTAGTACAGTCATAGTTCAATGCAGCCTTGAACTCGTGGGCTCAAGTGATTCTCCTGCCTCAGCCTTTCAAGTAGCTGGGACTACAGGCATGTGCCACCACATACAGCTAATTTAGGGGCAGTAATTTCTAAGTACAATGCCTTTGGTATGTATAGCTCTCCAGAAGATTTTTAATAGGTCATTTTTATCACCTAACTCTCATTAGTATTCTCAGTCAAAAATTGTGTTTTATTAAGTCTTCTGTGCCAAGTTTTTATCCTCCTTTTTTGTTTTTCAGTTTCTAAGCTGACTAAACAACTAATGCTCCTGGAGGGTAAAACTCAGGGCCAGGAAAAGGAGCTGACAGCAAATAAGGAAGAGCTGGAGATTTTGCATGCCAAATACCAAGAACTCAAAACACACTTGGATGGCAAAATTGCGATCAAAGTTCACAATTCAATTGTAAATGAATTAAAAAGGTAAGGATATCATGTCTTTTCAAGTATAATGAGTTTTGTGTGTGTGTGTGTGTGTGTGTGTGTGTATCGACTGATCGAGAAAGAGAGAGAGATTTATTTTAAGAAAATGGCTCACACAATTGTTGGGGCAGGCAAGGTCAAAATCCATATAGCAGGCCAGCCAGTTGGGAACTAAGGCAGGGTTTCTGTTACCATCTTTAGGCAGAATTCCTTCTTTGGGAGACCTCAGGTGGGATGGCCTACTACACACTAGGCTACAAGGTAGAGTCTGTTGCATCTGGGCTACAAACCTGGACAGCATGTGACTGTCCTGACTACTGTAGGCATCTGTAACACAATGGTCAGTGTTTGTATGTCTAACCATCCTAAACATAAAAGGGGACTGAAAAATATGATGTAAAAGGTAAAGTGTCCAGCTGTCTAGGGCATTTACCATGGATGGAGTTTACAGGACTGGAAGTTGCTCTGGGTGAGTTAGTGAGTGAGGTGAGTGCATGTAAAGGCCTGGGATGTTACTGTACACTAGTAGACTTTCTAAACGTTTCACACTTTGGGCTCAGGGTTGGTAGGTGTGGCAGAGGACAGAGGAATGAGAATTGTGGAGCTGGGGAGTATTGATCCTAACGGGCTCATCACTGGAAGGGGTAGTGTTTGATTGGAGAGAGAATTTGTGACATGAACAAGGAACAAGAATTCATCAGAGATGGAATATGTAGATTCAGGGGAATGTGCACAGGCTACACCAAGACCTGGTAGAAAATAGACAAAATGAGGAGCAGGAAACTCAGAATGTCTTTGTTTTGGCTACTATAGACATCCTGGAGTTAGGCTGAATGGAGCCGAAGACAGCAGCGCCCTTGCCCTCCAGTAACCTCGCTTAGGGACGCCCTTCCCCTGCTGATACCATAGCAGAGACAGGCTGCTGCGGAATAGGTCTCGAACCAGCTCCCACGCTGGGGAAATCTGGGGAGGAGCCTGGGGAAAGGGTTGTGCCTCAGGCAGGGGTGAGGCATGAGAACAAGATGTGTGTGTATCGAGACAGTCTGTGCTCGGCAAGCTTCTAGGTATGGTGCATATGTGCTCTTTCTCCTAGCCTGGTTGGCGGCAGTGGAGGTCGTAAGTGGCATTTTGTCTTGCTTACTCTGCCTGTTGGCAACCCGCCCGGAAGGAACAGTGACACAGGAAATGGCACTAGCTCATTTTCCTAGTGAACTGTCCAGTTGGCCTTGGTTGGACTGATGGTCACACCTTGAAGCTTAGATTGCCCTCTGTGCTTTTACTGTTTTCTAGAAAGGTTGGACCTTTTCAAGATGGATAGTGGGAGAAAAACAGGACCTCAACCCCCTTCGCTAAAGAAACTTAACCAACTCTTTTGGGGAGAACTATAGAGTTAGGGTGACTGGTGGTGTCTACAAAGGCAAACCTTTATCCTGGCTTTAAGGGGACCTGTATCCTAACGTGAAGTTGACCATTCCACACATGTCATCTACGAGCATAGAGTCCTATCTAGTACACACGAAATACCCAGTCCCTCACCCTAAAATAAGAACAGATTCCTAGATCTGTTCAAACAAACTACAAGGACTATTAGGGATAATAAAAGAAATTGCAGAATAAAAGAAAGAGACCTAGATAAACAGAAACTCAAAGGAAGCTGAGATAATACAGAGAACCAAGGAGACTTTAAAACTAAATGCCATGAGAAAAGAAAGTACAGTCATTAAATAAGAGCAAGATTAAACATGATTACCAGGACTTAAAAAAAAATCAGAGGGGCTGAAAAATAAATGTGTTGATTCTCCTAGAATATAAGGAAACAAACAATTGGAAAAATGGAGAGAAAAGGCAGTAGAAATGGAGGACCCATCTAGGAGGTTCAACCTTAGATCATCAGGAATCTTAGAGAGAGATTAAAGATGGTTGGGCATGGTGGCTCATACCTGTAATTTCAGCACTTTGGGAGGCTGAGGTGGGAGAGTCATCTGATGCCAGGAATTCAAGACCAGCTTGACCCTATCTACAAAAAAAATAAAAATAAAAAAAGAAGAAGAAAAGAGAGAGAGAGAGAAATAAATAAATAAGCAAGCCAGATATGGTGGTGTGCACCTGTAGTTCTATCTATTCGGGAGGCTGAGGCAGGAAGACTGCTTGAGCCCATGAATTTGAAGCTACAATGAGCTATGATCCCACCACTGTACTCCAGCCTGTACTCATCAGAGCAAGACCCCATCTCTCTAAAAAAGAAAAAAAATTTAATACAAATAAATGAAAAGAAATAGATTAAAGACAATAGAAAGGAAGAAGTTAATTGTTGAAAGAACATTTCTAGATCTTGGAAGACCTTGATTGACTCACTGCAGAGGTTCCTAGTGCAGTGAATAGAAAAAGACTCCCCACACCTACACATATTGTCATGCAATATTAGTTAGCCAAGAGTGATAAGACAGTCCCACATCACCCATGAGTGAAAAATAAGCTGGAGCTCCATAGGGTTCATCCTCAGGGAGAGGTATACCAGCAATAAACCAGCCCTCATGGGGTCTGCCAGCTGGGCTCACATTACCAACATGTAGATACATGGAACCTCACGCCATGAGCAGAAGCAAGCGAAAGTCCTCCTGGAAGAAAGGTCCCTTCCTTGTAGACCTCAAATTACTTCTAGAAATAGTGTTTCATATATAGTGTCCAGGATTCAAAGAAAGCCAGGTAGTGACTGGGAACCAGTAGAAACCATATGAAAATAATTATAGAGCCAGGCATGGTGGCTCAACACCTGTAATCCCAGCACGTGGGGGCTGAGGTGAGAATTGCTTGAGGCCAGGAGTTCAAGACCAGCCTAGGTAACATAGTGAGACCTCGTCTCTACAAAAAAAATTTAAAAATCAGCTGGGTGTGGTGATGCATTCTTGAAGTTCCAGCTACTCAGGAGGCTTAGGTGGGAGGATCATGTGAACCCAGAAGATGGAGACTGTGTTGAGCCGTAGTCATGTCACTGCATTCCAGCCTGGGTGACAGTAAGACCCTGACTCAAAAAAAAAAAAAAAAAAGAAAAGAAAAGAAAATAACGATTGAGTCCAGATATTAAAAATATCTGACAAAGACTATAATACAACTGATGACTGTTATGGCTAAAGAAATAAAAAGATGGCCAGGTGTGGGAGGCAGATTTGATAACACTCAAGCTGGTGTTCACAAAACAAGTGTCCCTTTTGTTCTGTAGAAACGTGTACTTATAATTACTATTATTATTTTTTTGAGTCAGAGTCTCACTCTGTTGCCCAGACTGGAGGGTAGTGGCATGCTCATGGCCACCGCAACCTCAACCTACTGGAATCAGGTGATCCTTCTGCCTCAGCCTTCCAAGTAACTGGAACTACAGGCATGCTCCACCATGCCTGGCTTTTTTTTTTTTTTTTAATTGTAGAGATGAAGTCTCACCAAGTTGTCCAGGCTGGTCTTGAACCCATGGGTTCAGGCAGTCCTCTCACTTCAGCCTCCCAAAGTGCTAGAATTATAAGCATGAGTCACCGCATCCAGCCTATAATTATGTTATTATGACAGTTTGTTTCAGCAGTTGGGTTTTTTTCCTGGCAGTTATACCCACAGAAAATATTGAACTGTCTTAGATTTTTTTCTGAAAGGGATAGGTAAAAGGTGTATATACACAGACTTAAGCAAAACTGTGGGGAGGAAAGGGAGTTAGATCATCACTGTCAAAGAAATGTGATGTGCCCATCCATACCCTCTGTCCTCTAGGGCCCAGGTTGGGGTGATGTTTCTGCAGAGGCTTCCAAGCCACGCACCCAGGGACTGAAGGGCCGGGTTGTTCATTACTTGTCTGGCACTGGCTACCTCATTTAAGCCTCAGTGTACTGGACATGTGTCTGTAATGTGTTTGTTCTTCAGCGAGTTACAGAAGGAAGAAGAAAAAGAAAGGACTGAATTGGAAGAGTTGGTGGAAAAGCTGACAGTCCTGCAAGTGCAGAAACAGAGTCTGCTTTTAGAGAAGAACAACTTGGTTGCCAGAAACAAAGCACTGGAAGCTGAACTTGAAAGGGCACAGAAAATAAATAGGTGCGTATTTTTTTTTCTTTTAAGTTGATGTTTTTCAATAGTTTAGAAAAGACTGGCTGGGCTTGGTGACTCAGCTTGTAATTCCAGCACTTTGGGACACCGAGGCAAGTGGATTGCCTGAGCCCACAGGTTCGAGACCAGCCCAGGCAACTTGGCAAGACCTCATCTCTACAATAAATCAAAAAATTAGCAGGCCATGGAAGGTTGAAGTAGAAGGATCACTGGAGCCCAGCAGGTCAACGCTGGAGTGGCCGTGGGTATGCCTCTGCATTCCAGTCTGGGCGACAGAGTGAGACTCCAACTCAAAAACAAACAAATGAAAAGATTAATTGAAGCTATTAGATATTAGAATAAAAGTACAGTAGCTCACCATTCCTGTAATGGTTGCTTCCTGGAAGGCAGTGTCACGTGGAGCCTCTTAACCTCAGCATCAGCTAAGCCTCAGCATTTGTATGCCTAACCCTGAATCGTACCCCACATCTTTAAAAAAATTTCAAGTTGGACAGAATTCTGTATATACCAATTTTCTGGAACCTTGGTCCCTCAAGATCCCAACGTGACCTCAGTTTCAACACAAGTGCTTAGTCCTCGTTTCACGGCTTGTGGTGCTGCCTGTTGTTGAAGCGGTAGAAGCCGAAGATGCAGTCGCTCTCTTGATAGGTGTGGTTCTCAGCATTATAGGCTTTTGTGCTTGCCTAGGAGCATATGCACGAAAGAGAATGGGCAGATAGGACTTAGAAGGGCTCCCTGAATGAAACCTCACCCTGAAAACCTTAGTGCTATTGAGGCTAAACCTGAGCTTTGGTGTCTGAAAGTCTCCAAGAATTAGTAAATAGGGGAGCTTCACGTTCTTAGTTGTTTCCATAAAAAGGGGAACAAATTCATATAGAAAGGGGAAAAACATGTTTTCTTTACAATAAATAATGCACTGGAAAATGCAGCCTATGATTTGTTTTTGCTAGCTAGAAAGGAGGTCAATGAAGCAAGATGGCTAAAATTTATATAAGTTATATTTCATAGTTTTTGAATTCTCAAAGCATGTGAAATAGGAAGAAGGAAGTTCTTATCCAGATTTAGGAAATTGCCATTGTTCAGTTATAAGCACTGCCTCCTGAATCATTGAGGAGTCTTCTCCATATTTTTGTTAGATTTTTGTTTTGTTATCTCCCAAGTTAATATTGTACTTAGGTATCAAATAGCCAAAAAATAGAAACCTGAGAAAAAAGGTTTAGGAAGATGTATTCAGTATATCTAATATTGGAATGGAGAAAACATTCAATGTAAAAAAAAGGCGTTTTATATTGACATTAAAATGGAAAAGAGATTTAATGTTTTAAAAAAACTTTATATTGAGTAACATCCCCATGGTGAGAAGTACTATAAATCCATTGTGTTGTTTAAAAAAAAGTACATGAGTACAATAAAAGCTTTTCTGTTAATTAACATTTCTCAATTCTATAGTTCAAGTATGGTTGATAATCATATGATACCCTAAGACCTGAAGTTCTAGAAGTTTTTTCCTAGCCATTTCCCAGAAGTCTATTTTGGGATGCCTTTTTCAAAAGTATCTTTTAGAATATGAGCCAAGGGGGGGCACACCTCATCAACAAGGGGACCTGCATAATGAACATTTGTATACCTGAATTGTACCCCACATCTTTAAAACAAAAAAATTAAAAGAGAGAAAAAAAAGAACATGAGCCAAAAAGTTAATAGAATAATACTTAATTTGCCTGTTCATTATGAGGCACTGTGTGACTCTTATAAACTTGATTTGGAGTCAATAATTATGCATGGTTTCAAATTACATTTAGCTACTTCTCATCTTGAAACTTTTCTTTATTTTCCACCTTGAAATTTAATAGATGATTTAAGTTGCTGAAGAATGGCATTTAAATGCTAACATACTGTTTTTAAAATACAGATATTCACTGTGGCCTGACCATATAAGCGAATGAGTTTTTTATTTCACCTTTGGGGTAACTCTCTAGGAGATCTCAAAAGAAAATTGATGTCCTCAAAAAGCAGGTGGAAAAAGCTGTGGGGAACGAAATGTCTGCTCACCAGTACCTGGCAAACCTCGTTGGCCTGACAGAGAATATAACCCAGGAACGTGACAGTCTTATATATTTGGTAAGTTTCCTAAAGACGGCATCAAGTAAACCATAAGTTGATATGCAAATGTGATTTTAAGAGCATTTTTACAAAATGACCCTTTAAAGAACTTCATACATGTAGACAATCCCTAATGGGGTTCACCTTACGATTTTTCAGCTTTACAATGGGTGTATCAAGAAGTAGCCCTACTGCGAGTTGAAGAGCTCCTTACGAGTCTGACAATTAAGTTTGCAGACTCACCCTGGAAAAAGTGTGCCTGCATCCCTCATCACTGAATATCACTATGGTCACCCTTGAGTGCTCTCCTTGTGAAGCTGTGCGCAGATGCCAGCATCTAGTCCACCCATCGATGCAATTTTGGAACTTTTTTTTTTTTTGAGTCAGAGTCTCACTCTGTCGCCCAGACGGGAGCGCAGCGGCCGCTCCCGGCCACCGCAGCCTCGCCTGCTGGGCTCCGGCGATCCTTCCGCCTCAGCCTTCCGAGTAGCCGGAATTACAGGCATGCGCTACCACGCCCGGCTGATTTTTTTTGATTTATCGTAAAGATGAGGTCTCGCTGCCCAGGCGGGTCTCGAACCCGCAGGCTCAGGCAATTTTGGAACTTTTATCTGAATGACTGTCAGAACTGTCATCATATTACCCCCAATGTCCTCCATGTCATCAAAATGTCTTCCTTTCAATATTTCCTTTATCTTCAGGTAAAGAAAAAAGTCACTAGGGGCTAAATCAGGTGAATAGGGAGGGTGTTCCAATACAATTATTTGTTTACTGGCTAAAAACTCCCTCACAGACAGTGCTGTGTGAGCTGGTACACTGACGTGATGCGAGATCTCCTGCACACACCTTTCTCATGCCAAGGTGTTCAGTTACGATTTTCCTGACTGTTTCTCTGTGGATGTTTATTTGGTCTGCTATGCTCCTCACAGCTGACAATTTTGATGTACAATTCAACGAATTTTTGCAGTGTTTTCATTAGTTCTGTATATTCCTGGCCATCCTGATCTCTTTTCATCAGTGACACTTTCTCTCCCCTCAGAAATATGTTTAATCCATTTGTACACTGATGTTTTCTTCATGACTTTACCCCCATAAATTCGGACTAACATGTATTTCACTTCCACCCTTGCCAAGTTTATTAAGAAATTTAATGTTTATTTGTTGCTCTGATTCAAACTCTGACCTTCTCATGACGTCAGCTCTGATGGCCATTCCAGAAAAAGAGTTCCAAAACTGCTTTGACGGGTAGACTAGGTGCTGATGTCCTGTAGTGATACTCAGCAATGAGGTTTGTAGCACTTGTCCTGGGATGAGTTTGTGAACTTAATTGTCAGGCCCCATATGACTTACAATGACGTTACACTTTCTACTGAGTGTGTATTGCTTTCACACCACCGTGAAGTTGAGAAAACATGAGTCAAAACATTGCAAATGGGGACCATTTGCTGTGTTGCCAGAACTAAATGCATTTCTGACTTAAAATATTTTTGACTTATGATAGGTTTATTGGGAGGTGGCCCCATCATAAGTTGAGCAGTGTCTGTATTTTAAAATATCAACTGTATTAGCTGGGCGTGGTGGCATGTGCCTATAGTCCCAGCTGCTTTGGAGGCTGAGGCAGGAGAATCTCTTGAGCCTAAGTGTTTGAGGCTGCAGTGAGCTATGATTGCACCCTACGCTCCAGCCTGGGCAACAGAGCAAAACCCCCATTTAATTTTTTTTTCACTGATGCATAATATTTGCACATATGTGTGTGATATTTTTTACATGCATAGAGTAAATCTGTAGCAATCAAGTCAGGTATTTAGGGTATCCATCACCACAGGCATTTATTATTTCTTTGTGTTGAGGATATTTCAAGTCTTCATTTCTAATTGACCAACCCCTCTTTATCCCCCCATACTCTACACACACCCACATCCTTTCCAGCCTGTGGTAACTGTCATTCTACTCTCTTATCTCCATGACATCAACTTTTTTAGCCCCCACATATGAATGAGTTCATGCGGCATTTGTCTTTCTGTGCCTGGTTCCTTTCGCTTAACATAATAGCTAGATAGCTAGTTCTATCCGTGTTGCAACAAATGACATGATTTTTGTTCTTTTTGGTGGCTGAATAGTATTCCATTACGTAAATACAGCACATTTTCAAGCAGGCACAGTGGCTCTTGCCTATAATCTCAGCACATTGGGAGGCTGAGGCAGGATCTCACCACTGCACTCCAGCCTGGGAGACCTCAAGTCCAAGAGAGCGAACGAGAGAGCGCATGAGCACACATTTTCTTTCTCCATTTATTTGTTGATGGACACTTAGGTTGATTTCATATCCTTGCTATTATGAATAGTGCTGCAGTAAACATGGGGGTGCAGATATCCTTTTGATATACTGATATTCTTTCCTTTGGATAAATACCCAGTGGTGGAGTTGCTAGATCCTATGATTATTTCAGTTTTAGTTTTTTTGTGAAATCTCTATACTGTTTTCCATAATGGCTGTGCTAATTTACATTCCCACCAGAAATATATGACAGTTCGTTTTTCTCTGCATCCTTGTCAGTGTAAAAGAAAATACAATTTCAGGACCCTCTAAATTTACTACATCATAAGATAAGTTAAGCTCTGGAGACTAAGTCACGCAGCATGTTTGGAGTTCTGCTTCTTAGATTACACATTAACTCTCCTCCTCGTTGTTGTTGTTCTGTTTATGACTAGGAGGCCAGACCGTCCCCCATTTTCAATCACTGATCTTTGCACTGATTAACTGCTTCCTAATTGTCCTGTATCTAACTCAGACCATCTAGATGGTGCCCAAGACCCTATGACTGTTATATCTTAAGTATGGAATGTTAAATATACCTTCCCTGAAAGAAAAAGACCACCACCTAAACTAATTAGATTGTTTCAACTATGCCTTAAGCCTTACACAGAAAGACTGAGAAATTCTGTTAGGCTTCCCTACACACACGTGGTCTATATAAGCAATACTAAACTTGTATGCTTCAGAACACTGACTTCCACTCTTTAGAATCTATGTTTCCTTGGTGGTTTGTTCTCAAATTTTGTGCTTGAATAAACTCTTTAGATTAGTTTCTTTGTCATGATTTTAGGTTGACATCACCAGCATCTGTTATTTTTAGTCTTTTTGATAATAGCTATTCTAAATGGAGTAATATGAGATCTCGTTGTGGTTTTGATTTGCATTTTCCTGATGTTTAGTGATGTTGAACATTTTTTCAAATACCTGCCTGTTTGCCATTTGTATTTCTTCTTTTGAGAAATGTCTATTTAGATCCTTTGCCTACTTTTTAATGGGGTTATTTATTTATTTTTGCTGTTGAGTTATTTGAATTCCTTGTATATTCTGGATATTTGTCTCTTGTTGAATGAATGTTTTGTAAATATTTTCTCTCATTCAGTAGATTATCTCTTCAATCTGTTGATTATTTCTCTTACTGTGCAGAGATGTTTTAATTTAATATAGTCTCATTTCTCTATTTTTGTTTTTATTGCCTATGCTTTTGGGGTCTTAGATATAAAATACTTGCCCAGTCTAATGCCCTGAAGTGTTTTCCCTATTTTCTTCTAATAGTTTTATAGTGTCAGGTCTTACATTTAAGTCTTTAATCTATTTTGAGTTGATTTCTGAACATGGTGAGAAATAGAGGTCTAGTTTCTTTTTTCTGTATATAGCTACCCAGTTTTCCCAGCAACATTTGCTGAAGAGGGTGTCCTTTCCCCCGTATATGTTCTTGGTGCCTTTGCTGCAAACCAGTTGGCTACAAATGCATGGTTTTATTTCTGGGTTCTCAGTTCTGTTCCATTGGCCTGTGTATCTGTTTTTATACCAGTACCATGCTGTTTCGGTTACTATAGCCTTGTAATGCATCTTGAAGTCAGGTCTTGTGATGCCTTCAATTTTGTTCTTTTTGCTCAGAATGGCTTTGCCTATATGGACTCTTTGTTGGTTCTGTGCAAAACTAGGTTGTTTATTCTATTTCTATGAAAAAATATCATTGATATTTTGATAGGGGTTGCACTGAGTCTGTAGATTGCTTTGGGTAGTATAGTCATTTTAATGATGTTAATTATTCCAATCCACAACCATGGGATGTCTTTTCATTAGTCTGAGTCCGCCTCAATGTCTTTCATCAGTGTTTTGTTGTTTTGGTTTTTTTTTTTTGAGTTGGAGTCTCACTCTGTCGCCCAGGCTGGAGTGCAGTAGCACGCTGATGGCCACCGCAGCCTCGACCTACTGGGCTTAGGTGATCCTTCTGCCTCAGCCTTCCAAGTAGCTGGAACTACAGGTACACGCTACCACACCCAGCTAATTTTTGATTTATTGTAGAGATGAGGTCTCGCCAAGTTGCCCAGGCTGGTCTCAAACCTGTGGGCTTAGGCAATCCTCTCACCTCAGCCTCCCAAAATGCTGGGATTATAGGCGTGAGCCACCACACCCGGCCTTTCATCAGTGTTTTATAATTTTCCTTGTTGAGGTTGGTCACCTCCTTGGTTAGGTTTTTGTTTGTTTTGCTTTGCAGCTATTGTAAATGGAATTGCTTTCTTAATTTCTTTTTCAGTGAATTCATTATTGATGTATAGAAACGCTACTGATTTCTATATGTTGATTTTGTATCCTACAACTTTACAGAACTTATTTCTCAGATCTAAGTGTTTTTATGTGGAATCTCTAGGTTTTTCTAAATATAAGATCATGTCATCTACAAAGAAGACAGTTTGACTTTCTCCTTTCCAATTTAGATGACTTTTTTCTTTCTCTTGCCTGGTTGCTTGGCTGGGATTTCCAGTACTATGTTGAATAGGAATGGTGAGAGTGGGCATTCTTATCCAGTTCCAGTTCTGAGAGGAAAGGCTTTCGGCTTTTCTCTATTCAGAATGATGTTAGCTGGTTTGTCATATGTGGACTTTATTATGTTGAGATAAGTTCCTTCTATACCTAGTTTATTGAGCATTTTTATCTTGAAGGGATGTTGAATTACATCAAATGTTTTTTCTGTGTC